GGGAGAAGAGAATGAGAAGAGGAAAGAGGAGATTGATAATGGATGAATATAATGAGCTGGCAATTTTGGTTTGAAAAGAATGTGATTAGCTCCTAATGACCGCCGCCATTCCCTGGTCAATCTACTGTAACTAGCCACTAATGTAAAAATAATGCCCCTCGGCTGCCTCACTTTGAAGATGGAGATGAGTCTCCCTTTCATACTTTTACCCCTTCGTATTTTCTTTTTTCCTTCAAGAGATCATCCCTATTATATTGCAGCTCCCTCAAAAGGGAAATGGCTATGTGATCAAAGTCTGCCAATTGGGGGGTCATTACTGCTCACTCCTAGGTGGCTCTGTTAGGCCTTGCCCCCTCTACCTTGGTCAACAGCATCCCAGACCAGGCTCACACCTCCTCCCCCCAAGCCCCACTCAGGGACACAGAGGCTCCCAGGGCTGCATCAGGGGCCCACGTGGTTTCCCAAAGAAGGGCCACTTATCACAACCGCTTTGTTTAGCTTAAGATTTTTTCAGAGGATATCAGCATGCTGGGTGCCTCCTGAAGGGTATGGTCTGGATGTTGAGACAGCTCCCAAATTGTGCCATTTAAGGACTCGGGGTGGACAGCGATCTTCATCACATCTCTGCAGTGTCGCAGCACAGGGGTGGATGCTAATTCTGTGGGTCGCCCATAGCACAGGGCAAAGGCAAAGTACACAGAGGCAGAGGAAACAAAATCCTGCCCAAACTGTCCGTAAGTGAGACAGGAAGCATTGTGAGGTAGTGAGCTCTCCGTCACTGAGGGTATCCAAGTAGCAGATGCTACGGATCAGCTTGTCCACTGCCCAGAAGGCCACTGTGGAAGGGAACACAACCAGGTAATTTTCAAGGTCACTTACACCTCTGAGATCAAAGAGACTGCACAGAAGCTACCTTACCCACCAATGTTTCCAACCATCTGTCCAATCCATTCATTTATTCTAAAGGGGATTCAGGTACATATGAAGTACAGGCCAGTATTGGGTTCTGGAGAGACAGAAATGAATAAGATGCTGCCCTTTTCCCGGAGTAGCCCATCATCAAGTTGGGAGACAAGACTTTCAAATTATTGGATATAAAGGAGTCCATCTAATAATAGAAGCGACCGACCAGCTGGGGATGAAATGGAGTGGTGGTGGGAGGGTAAGCAGGGAAGTTTTCACAAACCAGAAGATGCTTGAAATGGGTTTTAAAGGGTATGTAGGAGTCTTCCAGGCAGACTCGGGTGAAAGAGAATTTCAGGCAGAGGGAACAGCATATATAAAGTCAGTCTCAGAAGTTTGAAGCACCTGAAACTGTCTGTGGCTTTGTGTTTAGTTCCTTATCTTTGGAATATTAATATAAGGGCAAGAAATGAGGCTGGAGGGGCATGTAGGGTGAACTCATTAGGGACCTTGTATTAAAGACTAGAATTTATCCTGAAGATAATGGCAAGGGGAGTAACTGGGTCCTATTCACATTTTAGAAAGATCTCTCTGATTACAGTTGAGAATGGATTGGAGGAGACAAAACCAAAGCAAGAGAAACCAGTGAGGAGACTCGTGAGAGTGTTTCTCCAGGTAAATTCACTATTTGCAAGAACCATGGCTGTGCCTTAGAATCACCCAGGGAGTTTAAACCCTGCCGACGGCCTGCGTCCCATCCCCAGAGAGTCTGACTGTGGCTTTGGAAGTTTTAAAGCCTCCCTCAGATGATTCAAATGTACAGCCATAACAAAACTTTCAGCAAATTATAACTGAAACCCTAGCCCATGGTAGGTTCTCAACAGATTTTTTTTCCCCAAAATGATTATGAAAATATTTGGACTGTCCTATTCTTGGCTTCATATCACTTTGGGGTGGATATAATGGAATGAACAGTTGGCTTTTATCACAGAAGGTTTCAGGTAGAACATCCACCCCCAGAATATCCGCTTAAACCTTGAGAAGTCCAGTGTTACTGCTGAGACAGTCACAGCCCACCATGGCGGAGAGCCAGGACTCTGTGGGCCTGGCAATTGTCTGCAACAGCTGGTGCCACTGGGCTGGCCAGGAGGATGAGGCCCTAGGGCTGGAATCTGAGCTCTAAGAGTTCCATGCAAAAAGCAAGAACCGTTTGCAATCAAGAGCTGTCCTACACCAGTGGCAAGGGCGGTGCAGGGTGATGGTCATTTGTAATGAGGAAGGAGGGGGAAGACGACAAAGAGAAAAAGGAGAGACAGGCCCTCCGTTTGTAAAGTTAAGCACTTTCCTCTCTCCGTGGCATTTTTGTCACACTCAGATTTAGGGCAGAGATTGGGAAGACAATCTAGTACCCCGCTTCTGAAACCCTGGGGAAAGTGAGATTGGAGAACACAGCTTAGCCAGACCACCCAGACAAGGGCCTCCCACCCCATCTCCATTCCATCTAGAATGGCGAGGTAGCAGAATGAGCACTAGTTCTACCTACCCAACCACTGTAGAGTTGAGGATCATGGTCACGCTTCTAGAAAAAAGGTCGGCAGAGTGCAGCCACAGGCTAAATCCACCCCAGCACCTGTTTTCGTAAATGAAGTTTCATCAGAACATAGCCACGCCCATTTGTTAGCGTTTTGTCTGTCACTGCGTTCACTCCGCAACCAGAGTATGAGTGGCGGCAGCACGGAGTACTTGGCCTACAAAGCCCATGCTGCCCATTCTCTGACCCATTACAGAAAGTTTGCCTACCTCTTCTCTAGAAGACCCACCCAGGTTGGCTTAACACATGGGAGACTGGAAGCAAGAAAGGGGGTACTGTGCATGATTTGGGCTTTTCACAGGCACTGGTCTTGCCTGCCTATGAAACACAGCCCACTGATGGAATTTCTGACCGTTCGGCTTACAGACTGCTTATTGGGGCTGAACCTCGTAAGGGATGGATGGAAAAAGGCAAGGCCAGTGTAACAAGATGAGTGGATGCTCCTTTCCCCTGAGCTGCAGACAGGGAGCTGTGTAGACTAAAGGTATTGCAGGTCCAGCCCCAGAAGCAGTGCAGGGCCCACGAGCGGGGCATTTGGCCCAAGCCACAGGGTGCGGGGTGGAAACAGTAATCAAAATGTGGCCAGGTCTTCATGCTTCTGGAGCTTTCCTACAGCTGTTCCTGCTCCCCTGAATGCCCATCTTCATTCTCTGTGAGAGAAGCAACTTCACCCTCCCCTGTGTTTCCATAACTCTTGGCTAATAACTCTGTTAATCGTTCCACATGGTTGTGGACTTGTCTGTCTCCTCTTGGGTTGTTGACTCCCAATTCCTCCCCCAGCTCTGACTGTGAGCTTCTATGTCCAACTTCCTACTCAGCATTATCAGCTTGGATGTCGACTAGTCATCTCAAACGTGGCCCCTGCTACACTGTTCTCACTGTGTGGGACGTGGCAAGAAGCACACAGCACTCAGCAAGGGCCAGGCACTGTTCTAAGCACTCGATGTGCCCAGAGCACAACACGTAATTCCTGCCTCCCCGGTCTCTTTCTCCCCTTGTATTTCTTCTCCATCTCTGCAAATGCCACGGCTCTCCACTCACTTCTTCAAGCCAACAGTCTAGGAGCCAGCCTTCATCCCTCTCTCCTTCAGAGTCCACACCGACAGCAGATGTGTTGGCCTGCCTCTGCCCCCTCTACACTCATGTTCCCATGCACGCTCACCCACTGCCCGCTGCCTAGAAGAACCTGTGGCTTGTTGCCCAAGGACTTTCTTAGAGAATATGCACAGCTTACCTGCAGAGCATGGCAGAAGTGCCAAGGGATTTCCTAAGCATTGTCCTCAACCAATGGTCGATGGGAATTGGTGGGTAAATACCCCAACATGGGGTGGGCCTGTGAGATTAAACCCCAGGTGTACACGGTGCTGACGTGTTCACTGAGATCCTTGGACTGACTTCCTTCCCATGTTTCTATCATTTCCCTCGCTCTCCCACCCATGCTCCTTAGGATTGCCTCCGAAGAAGATCTCGTATTCAAATCCTTGTTTCCAAGTCTGCTTCTGAGGCAACCAAAATCTACCGTATTCAACTGAACATCCTGAAAATAATCACTTCTAGCTACATCTACTGACACCGTCCTGGTAAAGGGGCCAAGGTGCCCTCATCTCTTACCTGGACCATTGCAACAGCTTCCTAACTGATCTCCCTCCTTCCTCCCCAGGCCTCCTAAGAGCCTGCATCCCGTACATGAGCCAGAATGTAAAACCTAAATCAGATCAGCTAACTGCACTGCTCAAAACCCTCCAAAGCCTTTCCATCTCACTTAGAATGATACCCAACTCGTTACCAGTGACCACAATACCTTCTAGAGCCTGAACTGTCCCAGCCCATCCAGTTGCTCCCACCACTGCTCCCCCTGCCTCACCCTTGAATACGGTCATTTGGTTACCTCTTTTGCACCTGCTCTTCCCTCTGCCTGGAAAGCACGTCCTGCTTTTGGCACAACTGGCTTTTTCACATGATTAAGGAGTTAGGTTAAGTGTTCCCTTCTCAAAGAAGCCCTCCCAGACTGTATAATCTGAAGAAATTCTCATCCTCCATCACTGTCCCTTCCCCCTGATTAATCTTCTTCATAGCACTTTCCACGATCTGAAATTATATATGTTCGCTCTTTTACTTGCGGCGTTGCCCAGTTGACTGGAAGCTCAAAGGGGACTTTGCCTATTTCTCTGTATCCTGAGTACCTATAACAGTGCCAAATACATATTAGGGACTCAATAAATACCTGTCGAATGAATGAATGAGTTAATGAGCAAATGACTCCTGTACTGGGCCAGATTTGGACTCTTGACACACAGAAGGCATCCATGACATTTGAGTCAATGAACGAGTGGGTAAGTCCATAAAGGGGCCAAGTCTACATTCTCCCCAGGCCACATCCAAGAACATGGAGACCTTTATACCGAGTGACCCATCCCAGTGGATCTGATCCCCCCCACCCCCCGACTCATCTACACATGGAGAAAGCCCCTATCTCAGGCCATTCTAACCATTCTTCCTCTTTTAGGCCTTACCAGAGGGGCAGACAGCTTCGTGGGACACAGCCAAAGAGGATGAAAACCGCAATAAGAATCGATACGGAAACATCATATCCTGTAAGAGCCTTGAGGGTTTGGGGAGCAGCCAGCTCAGGGCCCAGAGGAGCCCAAGGCTACTCTGGTCACACAAGGGGCAGGGTTTAAGGCATCATGACTTCTGCTGGCCCCCACTGCTAGGGGGGCAGGTGTTGTAAGGTGAGTGTCTGCCACACAGGCCCTGCGTTGGCCAAGACACTTGGTGGCCCTGAGCCTGCAGGAGGAAAACGTGTTTTGTGCAGAGACTGGGGAGGCATGCAAGGTCATTGCCTTTTGCTCGACGAGCTTTAACATTCCTGTAATCACCCCTGATACGTGGTTTGATGAAGGCAGTGATGCGGAGCGGTTAGAGCCCTGTGGAGTCAGACTGCCTGGGCTTCTATCCCGGCTATGGGGCCCTGGGCAAGTTACCTGACCTCTCTAAGCTTCAGTTTTTTTCCCTTGGAAATGATACAAACAACAAAGACAGGGTCATTTTAAAAAGGTACATGAACCTTTGCCCGGTGCTTGGCACCATTACTCTAGCCTTAGAGTTAGTTTCTCGTGGTCACTGAAGATCAGTACAGACAAATAATTCCACATTTATTTATTTTTTAAGGATTTTATTTATTTATTTGCTAGACAAGCGAGAGAGGGAACACAAGCAGGGGGAGTGGGAGAGGGAGAAGCAGGCTTCCCGCCGAGCAGGGAGCCCGATGCGGGGCTCGATCCCAGGACCTTGGGATCACGACCCGAGCCGAAGGCAGACGCTTAATGAATGAGCCACTCAGGCACCCCAATTCCACCTTCTTTTAACCAGAAATCACTGAATACCCATCTGGGGACATGGGATAAACTGGGTTGGTGGGGGGCTGGGCATGATCAGATGTCCAGTTTTGAAAGATCACTAGGGTCACTGATTGGAAGGGTGGATTAGAGTGGGAGAGACTGGAGGCAGAGGGACTGGTCAGGAGGCTACTGCAGTGGTCCCAGCGAGGGACAATGAGGCCTGAACAAGGACAGTGCCAACATTTGTGTGTGACTGTGCATAATATTCAGTGCTAGACGGTGAGGCAGGGAGAGAGGCGTAGGTCACACGGTATCATCACTGCCAAATATTGGTATGTACAACCTTCAAAGCAGCATAAATACAGAGAGGACAAAGTTACCCCATACAAAATGTTGAGCGCATGGTCTGATTAGAACAGAGTTGACAACAGCTTTTGTCTGCCGTGGTGTACTCAGCCTGGACCTTTTGACATCTCACCAATTGTGTGCATTGCATTTCTCATCTTAGCTCTCAGGATTACTCCGTCTAGCCAAAAACAGAGGGAAAAAAAGACCTTGAATAACAAATTTTTTCTAGCACAGTTCAGTGTTTTGTTTTGTTTAACTGTCTAGACATTGCCTAAGAAAAAAACTTGGAGGAAGAAAACATAAGATACAGGCAGCTTGCAAAGGAAGAAAGAGGCAGAAGTTTTAGCTTAGCTGTTTCCTGTGCTGATTTAGGAATGGGCTATGAATGGTAGAACTAATCAGAAAACATTTATAATTTGTCTCTTGGAAGATAGTAATGCAGGCAGCAAGATTTCTTGCAAGTGAAGTGTTGGAAAGAGATGCCCGAACCATCAGGAAGTGTGTTATTAAGACCCATAACTCGTGGGCTTCCGTTGAGCCAGGCCCTGTGCTGGACCCTCAGTCTCTGCTCCCACGGAGCTGCTGTGCTGGGCACAGGTAGCTGCTCACTCTGACCGTCCTCTGCTCGAGCACTGTGCATACCATTCCCTAAGATATCTGGCCACTTGTTCGTTCCCCCTTTCAGATTGTGAGTTTAGAGAGGGGCCACTAAATTATAGGCTGTGAGACCTTAGGCGATCACACCAAACCTTAATCGTCTCTCTGTAAATTGGGTACAATGATGTCTTCCTCCCGGGGCGTTGCGCAGATAAGAAAAGATAAATGACTAGAGCACACTGAAGAGCCTTTGCCTCCCTGAGAGACAAGGATATCCAGCCTGGGCCAGGTATCCACGCAAAAGCCTATGGGGGCTAAGGATGAAAAGCCACACCAAGCTGTCTGTCTTCCAGACTTCCCTGCTCATCCTTGGCACCCAGCACCTTTGCCCGAACCATTGTTAGCTCTCACCTGGACTCCGCCCAGCCTTCTTCCTACTGCTGCACATCTAATCTGACCCCCAACTTCCACCTATCTGATCTGACAGAAGCCAGAGGGACATCCTCAAAATGGGAATTGGATCATGTCATTTTCCTATTGAAAGCCCTTCAAATGACTTTTCTGCATTTCTAAGCACTCCTTATCCAAAAGCCCTCAGCCACCTCTCCACTGCCATTTCATATCATGTTCTCTCCGTCCCAGTTTCCTCAATTAAGCCACACTGATCTTCATTCAGTCCCTTGAGCTTTCTGTGCTCACTCATGCCACGGGGCCTTTGCACACACTGTGTACTCTATCAAAGTGCCCTTCCCGCCTCACTTTGCTCTACTAAGTTCTACTTATTCTTCAGATCCTTCTCGGTCATCACTTCTTCAGGGAATTCCTCTGGCCCTTCGAATTTGATCAAAACCCCATTATTCACTCCTTGGGCACAATGCCTGTCTTCTCCTTAACCCTCGTCATCGTTGTGATTTGAGAGGCATTTGGATGACTATCTGTTGACTGCCTGTTTTCCTCACTGGAATAGACACTCTGTGACAGCAGGAAGATGACTGTACTTCTGTGTCCCCAAACCTGGCATATGGTTGGGGCTCAGTAAATAGGAACTTAATGTTGGAAAGCAGACTCTCTGCAAGACCCCAAAGGGCTTCAGCCATGGACCTCTCCCTTCTGGCTTCTCAAATAAAGGAGAGAATACTCAGGAAGCATGGAGGGAGGTAAGCTGGAGCAGGATGACAGGGGGAACAATTATTTGCCAGTAGGAAGAAGCTACTGAGCCTGAGTGGGGGCAGAGAGACAGGACACAGGAAAGGGCTGGAAGAGAACCATCCTGTCCCGTGTGAGAGCTGCGTCCTGGAAGGCAGGATTCCAAGTAGCAAGGAAAACAATGAAGAGGATTGAACTCCATCACTGGGGGTGCAGAAGATGCTGTCAGCATGCATCCCACCCACACCCCACAGCCTCACCACCTGGTGTTTGGAACCAGCAGGCAGTCTGGCATCCTGGGCCAGGACTATGGTGAGCGAGCGAGGCACCCAGTGTGCAACATTCAAGGAGATGCCATGCTCGGCTGCATGACCCTGAGAGCAAGCGCCTCACTGAGGTGTGTGCCCTGGACACCTCACTTGCTTCCCCCTCATGGTGCCCTGTCTGCATCTCTTCACCTGAGAACCTGCTTCCAAGCTGGGGCAAGATAATCTGTGCAAAAGGCAGTCTTTCCCTAGCCGATGAAATAGCCCAGCTCCTTCCCATCCCACTGAGGGTGTGTTCTTCACCTTTTCCAGAGTTCCCTCAGGGCCTGGGCTGCCGTTTCCCACCGCAGGACCGGGCTGGAAAACTCCCCCTTGGGGCCTACCTTCTTTCGGCCGCCTCCCTGCCCCCCTTCCTGCTGGTGCCCCTGTTCCTGCATAAACTACGTGCACCAGGATCCTCCTCTCGCATCTCCTTCTTGGGAAACCCAAAGGAGGCAGAGGGAATTCAAACACCTAATGTTACCACCTTGACGGGCTCGAACAAACCTGAATCTCCTTTCTCACAGAAGGGTCAGTAATTCTACGGGACACTGCGGCCCGAGTGGGTCTGCACTCCCTAAAAAGGAGACAGGATCAGGCAACCCGTGCATTCAAAAACCCTGGAAGACATACCAAGGAGCCGAGCAAAGAAAGACTCCTAGAACTGGAACGAGAAAGGGAAAAGAGAGACGGCCCCGAGGAATGGAAAGCATTCCTGTCCTTGTATGTGTCCCTCCCAAAGGCAAAGTCTGTCGAAGCTTGATAAATAGAAATATTCTTGGCACAAGAAGAAAACGGGGTGTGATTAGCATCTTAAGGAACCCAGAGCTCTGGGAGGCTGGAGTGGAGGACAAAGGCCCAGGCCAGGAGGACAAAGAAGATAAAAGGGGAAGAGGGGGAGGGGAAGGCACTGCTTGCAAATGAAACAATGAAAGAGAAACCTTGGTTAAATTAGCCCTTTCTTCCAAATGAGGCTGTTTAGAATTTGGCAGCAGAGACAGTGGGGTTTCCAGGGGTGGGATGACCAGGAAATGAAAGGGAAGGAAGTGAGTGGAGATCCAGAACAAAGAGTTCTTTGCATTCAAGCAGCTCTGGGGCAGAGACTGTGGACAAGGGGAAATGTCAAGAATACCCCAGCGTTCCCATGTGGATGTTCTTTTGGAGGGGGCTTCCTGGGCTGGTGGGAAGAAGTTACAGCAAGGAGAGGAAGCGATCGCAGAGGTTGCAGATTTCATCAACTCTGTCAGGGTCCCAGCAGGAAACAGATGAGACGCTCAAGGAGGGGGATGTGAAGAGCGGAGGAAGTAAGCACACGTTGGTCACATTCTCTTTTGGTCCAGTTCCTACAGGGGCTTTCCATTGGCCAAATCCAACCCAAAACCAGAGGACAAGGGAATCTGCAGACTCAGTCCACTGGGCCCAGGTGTACCAGAATACTGGACATGGGCTCAGGCAGAGCCGGGTTCTAGTCTCGGTTCTGCCCTTGACTGGGTGCATGACCTTCGGTAAGGTCACTTCATCTCTCTGACCCTCAGTTTCTCCTCTCTCAGTGTACAGAGGGCAAATTAAGATGAATAACTACTGAATCCAAATCCGGTGTAGAGACTTTTAAACCCAGCTGAGACTTAGTCCAGCCTCTCTGAGTTCACTGGTGAGGAGTGATGGTCCAGAGATGTAGAGTCCCCGGCCCAGGTCACACAGCAAGTCTGTAGGACGGCCACACCCAGCCCTCCTGGCTTTTAGCTGCTGGGGTACCACGTGACCCTGGCAAGGAATCCTTCTGCATCAAGACACATCATGCTAAGGGCTCCAACCTCAGAACAAATGGCCGACTGGGATGAGCTCTTCAGACTCACT